AAGATTGTACAGTATATATAAATTTGCATATACTGTATATTATATATATAAATATATTTGAAAAAAAATATATATATNTATATATAAATATTTATTGATTGATTGGATGTTTATGGATATATATATCCTGTTTCTTTTTTTAAATACTTGTAATTAAAAGAAATGATGCCTGTAACCCATAAATTAACAATATAGAAAAACTTATAATGTAATTAACTTATTGCTCGACTAATTTAACTAAGTTTTCTAATTAAATAACTAATGAATGTTAACTCATTCTTGGAATTTAAAGCGGAAAAAAAAATAAACAATTGTAACATATGTAAATTTAGTGGTACAAAGTTGTACAGAACGTGTAGACTTTACGTGGCGTCATATTTTCTTTTCTCGAATGTACCATTAAGAGTGTCGTCGTTTATTAACTGTCGTACGGTCTGGTACGTTCTTTATCGATTGGTACGGCAGACAGACAGACGTGTCTAGTTTAATTCGTGCGGTCACGTTCGAAATTGAAGGCAGTACCTGAAATTCTTTCTCAGGGGATAGGAAAAGCAACTTTAACGTGCCTGTGAAAAATTTGTGCTTCCGCTAAATGTAATTCTATCAAATATCTTAAACATGCTTTCATTGGATCGATTTTATGTATTCTGCAAATGATTCGTGTGTCTTTTATCTTGTTTAAAAAAATAATAAAAAACGTATATAAAATATATATTGCTCTTGGAGATGTGAGAGAAAATTTATATGATTTTTTTTATTTTTATTTTTTCTGTTCGTTTGTGTGTTAAATAAAATAAAAAATGCAAATATTCAGTTTATGGATTACTTTTAGTTTTTCTCTTAAACGAAAATATTGTGTAAAAGTTGGGCGTTAACGAAGTAAAATCCTCAGATACATCTAACGCATATATTATTAATGTATTCGGGGTGGCCCAAATGGCTTAGAATGACTTGCGATTCGTGTCCTACGAGTGACTACGCATGGTTTGTCTATTCTTAATTAATACAGGTGGCCATAAGTCAGTTTACCAAGATATATTTGTTTTAAGAACAGTTCAAAACACGCAGCTGCGGGTATTGGTCATGATTTAAATGTTTTATTGAGAGAGTAAACCGTTCCAGTTTTGACTATTAAAAATATATCTCGGTAAACTGAATTTCAGGCCACCCTGTATATTACAAAATTCGGACAGTTCGAATTGTTATTTAGTGAAAAAAACGTATGGAATTGCCATCAGAGCTTGCTTGTTGATTAAACTAATTTTTACTTGAAAGTGTCTAATGAGGGTCACTTATTAGATTGATGTGCACGACAGAGAAGACTGTTTTACAGGTGCATTTTGTTGTGTTAAAATGTTTAAGGTAATGCCGATGATGACCTTATTGACAAACGTTTACATACTTATAAGGACAGTAGATAGTGTAGATACTATCACGATCTTAGTCTTATCTTGATTACTACTAACCATAGACATAACTTTGTTTCTGTTCCAGTAACGTAAACATTATGAACTATCTTTTAAAACAATGAGCCAAAATAATATTTAATTAAATAAACCTTATTTTACGATAGTCACGGTAAGTAGATCTCAAACCTGGATTCCTCAGAGCAGCAGGCTATCCTCAATAAATCGTGCATATAATACTGCAAGAACCCCTTTCAGATCCAATCGTGTCACGTGTATCATAGAAAGGAAACCGAGAGGATCAAAATTCCCCCATTCTTTCAGATAAAGCTATTCAGTTAACCAGTATTCGAACAGGGGACACAAGGTTAGAATCGAAGTTATTCAAAGTTCGCAGCTCTTTGCTGGGTAAAACTCAAAATCACACTTCTGCATGGGCACCATTTCTCTGGTTTTTGATCTCTCTATCCAAATTCCTATGGTTAAGCTGTCAGAATGCTTATGAGGATCAAAATCTTCGCTAAACTGTTGCTGGATTTTTCTCAACTTTGAAAATGGCGTAAGACTGTTTAACCTCTTAGACCTCCAGATTTAAACAACTTTACAGGTGCATCAATTTAAATTGATTTATCTAAGTTGGTCCCTCTCGGGGCTTGGACCATTTGCTGAACTTTCCATTCGTACTTCTTTAGTTTTATTTATACGTTACTGTTTTGCAGTGGTGATCAAGTGTTACGTTCCATTTGTTTCTATCGTAATCTCTCGTTTAGAAAGTATCAGCTATTCAGTTAATGCAATATCGACAGTACATCGATTCTATTCTTGTAACACGGCCTAAATACTTACTAAAGAACACAAGAATTGACTCACACATGTTCTTACAATTGCAAATATTCGTAAAACACAAACACGAAATAGCGTATTTTGGAACAAAACCTCAAAAATTAAATAAATGTGTCACAATGAACAATTAAAGAGAGGATGAATCAAATGGCTCCGTGGAATTGCTTCCATTCCGATGGTAAAACAATCCTTTTGAATTAGTACAAAATCCAGTAAGAGTTGTCAATTTTTATTAGCATTTACGATGCTTTTATAAATCTTAAGTCCGACCCCCTCTATCTCACCACCATCTCAACCTTTAACCACCAAAATGTGTCACATCATCGTGATTTAGAAACGTTGTAACGTCTTCTATAGTAGAATTTATTTGTTGTTGTTATTTTTGGAGGAACCGGCTGTAGGTTAAATTTCATTTGTGTGTAAAGAATAATAAATCAAGAAAAATCACAAATTACTTTGGTTCTGTTTGGTGTTATCCTTTTACTAAACTCGGTAAGCCGAGTAGGGTCTGGTTAATAAAATAGGAAAAAGTCATACAAAGGTGTTGACCCTTATTTTTAGGCTCTCGGATTGGATTGGACAACAACACCCATGGGTGGTCTACAAAGGCGAGAATTCTTTTATGAAAAATTGGTCTCTGTTAAGCAGTGGCGTGCCGTCATTAGAAGCGTTGGAAGCGCCGCTTCCCTCGTATTCTCTAAAAAAATAAATATTAATTTTAATTATATGAAAATAATCGCACAATATTTTATTATAACCGCATTATGTATCTTATTACAAATTTCTATAATACACGTGGAAAAAAATAAAAATTGCTATTGTATATTAGAATATTAGTGGCGGAGTGGAATCTCCTGTATTTTCAGATTACGAAAAGCCAGATTTGTGCATGCGCTTTACAGAGCACCAACCTCACCCGGTTTAGCCGGTGGAAGCCTACGACCTTGGGTGAAAGCTGCACACATATAAAGATTCCAATTCTATCAAGGACCGGTTCTGGGCTGTTAGCCGCCTGCCCACTAGATATTTCGATTACGTGAATAACGAGTAGATTTATAACTTAACCCAACCGATAAGAATTTACTGGTATGTTTTTACGATAGTTCTGTATAGTTGACAGGAGTTTAAAAAATCCATTAAAATATTTGATATATTTATTCCGCTCTCCGATTTTATATTACTCACGGATTTCAATGTTAAACCAGTGATATTACGATTTCGTATATCCCATCTTTAAGGGGATGTAGAAAAAAACGTGTACAATTCTTGTATAATGTTAAAAAATTAACTGTTACTTTGACAGCATCATTTACAACTAAATTTAATGAATGAGAGAGATGCACGAGGTACAGAAAAAGCTCTAGAATTTATTTTCCTTAAATTTACGATTTATGTATCCGTTTGTCATAAAAATTTGTCTTTCCACTTTTTTCCCGAGACTACAAATATTCGAGTACAAAGTAACCGGTTTCGACTTATTTCTACTTAAGAAGTAGTTAAATAATTAAGCGATTAGGGAATTGGGGACATAAATAAAACCCTGACGAAAGAGCCGGAATATTACTTAAACAAAAGCTTAACCGAACCAATCTCTAGCCGAGTACAGTGGGGACTGATTTCTTCGAAATACTGTATTAGATGTAATAAAGACAGAAATTTTTCCAGTTCGACGAGAGTGACCGAAAAGTTGTAAATTTTGGAAATTTCCGTGGACAACACCCGGTCCTAAAACGAATTAGTTAGAAAACAAAAGACGGACAATCTATTAAGTTTAACATTTAGACTTTTACACACCGCACACCTAGCAGGACCGTCTCCGATTCCACTCGTAGGAAGCTATTTGACTAAATAGTTAAGATTTTAAAAAGTTTTGGCTCGAGATCGTATAATGAAAAAGAAAACATTATTAAAAGAGAACGGCCAATGCCTAAGTTAAATATAAACGCTTCGATAAAAAAATTTGTTCGACATTTTCAAGATAAAATGGCTCCGTAAATACGTAAAAATGCAAAAATTGTTTTGTTGGTTCGAATTCTTTACGCCATTTATAACAGCACTTAAACTGACATGTCGGCATTCCCCTGGGATAAACAGGCATGCCAGTTTATACCATATGAAAATATATGATTTTGTGGTGTCCCCAAATAGACCAGCATGCATGCTGGTCATTTCGCGAAAATATGGTAACATTTGAATTTAAAGATTTTTTTTAGTGTGTCTTTCCTATTCAAGATTTACAGAATAGTCCAAACTTAAGTTTTCATTTCCTTCTGATTGCAAGTTTTTTCTGATAAGAAATTTTTAAAGGAACCAAAAAGATGAAATTTTGACAAAGTGAGTTTAGGGGTATATGATGGTGCTATAAAGTATTCTTTACGCGTGTTGCTAAGACCTTCCACCATCCTGTCAACATCAGGTATAACCTTAGTTAACTCCACCGGAAGGGAAGGAGCAAACGCAGGGCCCAAGCCAACTACGTTAACCAGCATGGGCGGAGGTTGAATACTTCCGATGGAAGGTTTTCTTCGATATCTGTAACCACAGGGCCAAGGCACAGGATGAACGATCATATTCGAGTGCCATACATAATTCTAGACGATGGATGAGTCGTAATGATGTGATCGCTGTAAGGGCGGATAAATCCAGGAGCATTGTTCTTATAGAAACGGCTTGCATGAATACATCAGCAACACTAAATGCACTAAGACCCCCAGCGGATTTTTGGAAAGGACTCAAGCAAGGGTTGCACGTATGACCAACTCCCCATTGGCCAGAGTACTAAAGATAACTAAGGCAACTATTTCGACGCCGATTTCACCACGCTTATTCGCTTTCGCCAAACTCCATAAAGACGGTAAACAACTACGTCCGGTCGTCGAAAAGTCGAGATCTCCGACTATACTTATAGAACGCATGCTTAACTCTTTTGCAACCAGCACCATCGAGGAATATCCGTGTACTGTGTCCAATCCGGTACAGTTGATTCACAGATTGAATGCACTTGACAGCTTAGATGGCGTATATTTCACCGTTTGTGATTTTGAATCCATGTTCCCATCCATCCGCATCGAGCCATGTTTTTCTGAGTTAAGGGATTTTCTCATTCGAAATATCAACGACTCTTCTGAACATCTTTCTGACATCTTAGAGTTGGCACATCTCATATGTCATTCATCTTTTTTCGTATTTGAGGGAGATACTTTCCTGCAGTCTAGAGGAGTGCCTATGGGTAGCCCCATATCAGGAACATTATGTGAATTGGTGGTCAGACGCCTCGAACAACAAGTCTTACCTGGCTTTAAAGATGACATTATATTATACGCTAGATACGTGGATGATGTGTTCATTGTTTGGAAGAGAAAACCAGACTTGGCGGCATTCATTGAAACTTTCAATAGTAACGCTTATGGCCTCTCGTTGAGGGCGGAACAGCAGAGCTCCACCAACGTGCATTTTCTTGATATTGACATTAGCTTACAACAGGGTCGAATAACAACTAAAGTATACCGTAAGAGCTCGTATGCGCCTCTTTTTATACACGCTCAATCACATGATCCGGTTAGCTACAAGATCTCTGCTTTTAAGATCCTAGTAAGAAGAGCTTTCACCCATTGTTCAAGCGCGGAAGATAGAAAAATGGAATTGGAATCTATTTCGAATGTGGCTAGACTGCACGGTTACCCTACGCGCCTAATTAAAGCACTTATAGCACGCCACCAACCTAAGAGTACGGCACTTCAGAATAACCAGTCCTTCGTTCCTATTACTTACAACAAGATCCTTCATAGCACCTACAAACAAATCGCTCGGTATGCTGGCAAAAATATTGCAGACCATTTTCTCCTGTTTACGAAACGATAAGGACCGTCTTGATAGGAACTGTGTTCCGGGAATATATTCTATCCCTATTTACGATCATAGGGTGAATCGTCCGGGCGAATATATTGGGGCTGCCTTAAGGAACACAAGTACTCAATTCAAAAACGCCTTCCCAATACAGCTTTGGCCGCTTTCGCGCTTGATGATGACGTCAAGGTGGAATTTGATAATGCACGTTTAATACAACGGTGTGAACACCAGGCCAGCCTGAAATATCTAGAACAGCTGGAAATTTTTAAAGCGTTCAGAAAGGGAACAGCCATCAATTTCAAGGAAACAGACTCTTTAGCGACGGCGTGGAGGGCATATTATGACTAGTGATGTGCCGGATATCCGTATCTGTATCCGTTACTTTTTAGCGGATCTTTAACGGACCTTTTATCTTAATGAATTTCATTACTTATATCAAATTTTAAAAATAGGTAGCAATAGCACATTCGTCGTTCACTATCGTAAAATATTTCCATATTACACTATTAAACTTTTTTGTCGACATTGTTTTTATTTTAATTTAACTCAACACTCTCCAAAAACACAAACGTAATCTACGCTATCTCGTGTCACACTAGCCACAAACCAGTGTTTCCCAACGTGGGGCCCACGCCCCACAGGGGGCAATTGGATTGCTAAGGAGGGCAATTCGAAAATGGACTTGTCCAGAGTTTAAGTTAACCGTATAGCCGCTGTATATGTTAGGGAGACATAAGAATTTTAGAAAGGCTTAGGTGGGGCATAGCACAAAAAAGGTTGGGAAACACTGCACTAAACTATTGTGGCGGTACGCTATATTTTTGTAAATATTAATTTTAGTTTAGTTTCGTTTCTTCTTTCTACCCTTTGTTCTATTGTTCTATTTTCTTCTAGAACTTTCTTATCTATTCCCTGTCCCTTGGGTGGGATGAGCAGTTCCTAGAAATTTGAGGAGCAAAGGTGTAAACAGGAGCCGGAGAAAAAAGAGAAGTGACGTAGCAGGTCATTCGTAAACCGGACGGCAGAGTGTACGGACGAGGTGAGAATACTGGGAGTCGTATTTTCAATGACCGGATAGTTCAGAAATAAGTTCAGAAAAAAGATCATGTTTTAAGGTCGTATTGACGACTGTGGAAGGAAAAAATCCTAATTATTGTAGAAGAGAAGTGGCCAGTTATAGGAGAAGGACGTGTGTTATCCCACCCAATAGTACGCATAAAGAAACAAGCCGAAAAAAGGGACGAAACCCCAGATATCCCTATTTCTATCTTATCTACCATTTTTTCTGTCATCTTAATTTTATCCCTTTTTCTGTTATTAGTGCTAGGTTAGTGTTTAAAGTTAGTTTTAAGGTTCCGGGTTATATTGTCGCGATCGGGATCTGTATTGTACTGTACACGTGCTTTGGATACAGCGAACTATTATTATTATCGCTGTAATTTCGCATGCTACTGTTGGCACATCACTAATTATGACGTATAATGGATGCGCACCATATACGTCATAAACATCAGATTTTTGAAGCAGGAAACCAATTACACGAATAATTTTATTAAGGCCCTGCATCGGACATGCGCATAACTGCGATGTTCGATTTTTTGAAATCTTGGATTCGAACCTGATGATGACCGTTGAAGACGGTAGAAAACGTTCGTTTTTGAAATGAATTTATGCTGGTATGTTGGTAATTTCGTAGTTATGTTCTTAATTCTCACACCAGTATGATGAATGATTGTTCAATTACTACTTTGAAGAATGTATTTATTTTACATATAACATTTAGATGTACAATTGAATACAAAATCTTTTTGTAAAAGTTAATTGCAAATATGCAATGTCGTGCCTTTTAATTTCAGTAAGAGTTCGCTGTATTTTATCTTCCAATTGCTTTCGTCCTCTGCAGAACGAACTAGGCCGAAAATCTAATCAAAGAGGCCCACGCAATTGTCTCCTTGGTGGAGCACTCCACTCACTCTGATCTTCACCAGGCCGTGCACTTCAGTGACACAGTGTGTTCCGTAGTAATGGTTAGGAAAAACATATGTTAATGGGTAACTAAACGATATAAGCCGAGCTAACGCGCGTTAGCTCGGCGTTCGACGAGCGTTTAGTGGAGCGTGCACACTGGCTCGATTTGGAAATGGACGTGGAAGTGATTGTTTGTGTATGGCTCCTCTATCGTCGCTATAAAAGACGACGCGTCCCAAAAGCGCGCGATCGAATGTACAACAAAATGGCAACACATATATCTCAAAGCATCCGTAAAGCGCGCGTTTTAAGAAAAATCTATAAACGCGCGTTTTGAGATATATGTGTTGCCATTTTGTTGTACATTCGATCGCGCGCTTTTGGGACGCGTCGTCTTTTATAGCGACGATAGAGGAGCCATACACAAACAATCACTTCCACGTCCATTTCCAAATCGAGCCAGTGTGCACGCTCCACTAAACGCTCGTCGAACGCCGAGCTAACGCGCGTTAGCTCGGCTTATATCGTTTAGTTACCCATTAACATATGTTTTTCCTAACCATTACTACGGAACACACTGTGTCACTGAAGTGCACGGCCTGGTGAAGATCAGAGTGAGTGGAGTGCTCCACCAAGGAGACAATTGCGTGGGCCTCTTTGATTAGATTTTCGGCCTAGTTCGTTCTGCAGAGGACGAAAGCAATTGGAAGATAAAATACAGCGAACTCTTACTGAAATTAAAAGGCACGACATTGCATATTTGCAATTAACTTTTACAAAAAGATTTTGTATTCAATTGTACATCTAAATGTTATATGTAAAATAAATACATTCTTCAAAGTAGTAATTGAACAATCATTCATCATACTGGTGTGAGAATTAAGAACATAACTACGAAATTACCAACATACCAGCATAAATTCATTTCAAAAACGAACGTTTTCTACCGTCTTCAACGGTCATCATCAGGTTCGAATCCAAGATTTCAAAAAATCGAACATCGCAGTTATGCGCATGTCCGATGCAGGGCCTTAATAAAATTATTCGTGTAATTGGTTTCCTGCTTCAAAAATCTGATGTTTATGACGTATATGGTGCGCATCCATTATACGTCATAATTAGTGATGTGCCAACAGTAGCATGCGAAATTACAGCGATAATAATAATAGTTCGCTGTATCCAAAGCACGTGTACAGTACAATACAGATCCCGATCGCGACAATATAACCCGGAACCTTAAAACTAACTTTAAACACTAACCTAGCACTAATAACAGAAAAAGGGATAAAATTAAGATGACAGAAAAAATGGTAGATAAGATAGAAATAGGGATATCTGGGGTTTCGTCCCTTTTTTCGGCTTGTTTCTTTATGCGTACTATTGGGTGGGATAACACACGTTCTTCTCCTATAACTGGCCACTTCTCTTCTACAATAATTAGGATTTTTTCCTTCCACAGTCGTCAATACGACCTTAAAACATGATCTTTTTTCTGAACTATCCGGTCATTGAAAATACGATTCCCAGTATTCTCACCTTGTTCGTACAGTCTGCCGTCCGGTTCATGAATGACCTGCTATGTCACTTCTTTTTTTTCTCCGGCTCCTGCTTACACCTTTGCTCCTCAAATTTCTAGGAACTGCTCATCCCACCCAAGGGACNCTCTGCAAAATGTTGATTTGCAATTGCATTCATTTTATTGATACCCTCCCGAGATGGAATATTTGTAACATATAAGACTTCCTCTGGTTGTGGGACTTTTTCTTCTTTGGTGTCATCATCCTGGTCAATGTATGTGTGACACTCAGCCTTCTTTGTTTATGGCCTAACCTAGATTTTTAACGATATACCATTTTGTTAAACTACTGTCACCTTTCATACCTGGGAGTTAATCATTTGACAAGTTCTCAGCAACTAAAAAGACGCTTTCTCGTAACCTCACGACCTATTGTTGCAAGTTTGTCAGTTGAATATAGCAACAGACCGATCTTCGAGGCAGTCGTCCTTTGTCCTACCAACTGTGCAGTCTCCTGTTTTTCGAAACTTAACCAGTACCCGACAGTACCCCTATTAATCATTACCCGAGTGGAATTGTGTGCTTATTGGATTAACTAACTACCAACATTTAGTGAGTGCTTGGAATTCACCAAAGGGCTGATACATGAGGTATCTATCACGATGCATTTTAATGTGAACTCTCTCTCTTCCTTACCATGAAAACTAATTATCCCTCTTTGAAAGGAATGTGTTTCCTGTATTCAATGTCTTAGATTACCATTAAATGTTATTTTGTTAACCTACTCTGCGTAATCACTTCCGGTATTCTGTCTCTCTCTCACTGTATCCAAAATCAGATTGCTCAGTAACGTGACCACTTGCTTGATCAACTTCCGAACTGCCGTGGCTTCCACGTCACCCGAGACACGGTGGTGTCAATCCTGACGAGGCACTAAGAAGGTGCCGACCCTTCGGTCACATATGTATTGTGCAGAATGCAGTTATTATTTTTGGTATTAAATTCATCTTGAAAATCAGAAGATACTTCAACCTACAAAATCTTCCAAACAATTTCCCATATGCTTGTTCAATCACTATATGTGTAGAACTTAAAATATTAAATAAAGTATTAAAATATGTTTGCTTTACTGTAAGATGCTCATTATCCTTATATGGCATCATAAGGTATGAATTTAAAGAATAGACACTGTCACCTAGAAAATGAGCATCCTCTGAAATAACAATTCTTTTTGATTGAATATCCTGATGCAGAAAACTGTTATTCTACCTATAAATAGTGAATTTTGAAATAAAATTACATAAATTAAATCATTAAAAACCGATAAATGAATACTGTAATTTTATTATCTCGGCTCAGTTACTATCCTACCTAGATGATACTGATTAAGCCTAGGCTTCAAATATAATTTGATAGTTAAGTTGGCCTTACACCAACTTAACTGTCATTACCTCTGTAGTAGCTATAATGCTAGTATTTATTTCAATTATTTCATATTTAGATGCCACAAACTGGTGTCTTGGCTCCCTCCTAGAGTTAACAGTGACTTGAGAGCATTTGGACACACACTGAGAGGATGTTTTTAAACTGCACAGTGTGTGTTGAAACATTTCTAATCCTCTCCATTAGCAACAGGAAGCATGTAAGTCACATAACCAATCCCTGTAGCTTCATCAATCTCCAACAGTCCTTAGAGCTGCTGTAGTCTGGTAATTACTGGAAGAAAATTTAACTTCAAGATGGCAGCCACCATGGAAGAGACCAAAGTTCTTATATATATCTTGTAAATAGGTGTNTTTTTTGGCTTGTATATTTTCTGATTTTTCTAATGCTAAAACCACTTTTCTAATAACAATAGGAAGAAACCCCTCATTTTTTCTTTCAAATAACTTCAGCTATAATTAACAAGTGTATCACGCACCAACAAGAGAGTTAAAAAACTATCACAAAAATCCCCATAACAGTGTCTATCCCTTGGTACTGTCAGTGGGCCGTTTGGTTGGCGACACACTGCACTACTTCACTCTATGTAACAATGCAACACTGGTCGTGATGGTGTATACAAAACTAACTTGTTCAATATATTATTAAAAAAAACTTTTTTAAACTTTGTGTTAACTTTACAAAATAAAGGACTAAATGCCTATTTTAGAAAATAAATAAAGTTAAAGGACAGAGCAGTGAAATAAAGGACGTATGGTCACTGTAGGTATATATGGACTCATCAATGTTGTCCAAAATGTGAGGGAGCACCAAAATATTCATCTGTCTTGAGTGACAGAGTCTAGTTGCACCCCTGCTAACATCCTTTTAATGGAAGTATTTGTACCGCTTTCTGTTTCAATATTACACTTATACAAATAATACAATTAATCCTTCTAAATATTTTGTAATGATATATAAGACAAGAGAGGAGATGACGTCTACAAGATTGGATCGAAGGACAATCAACGAATATGGGAAGACAGAGAGAGGTAATGGTTAGAACAAAAATCCGAGAAACTAAAGAATTAACTTTCAGATCCAAAGATAATTTGCAATTCAAGTATTTACAATCAAATAAATAATATGAACTTACGACTTGGGTCGTATCCGAATTCCAAAATTTGAGGCATTCCTTGATCACCATCCATTTTTCAGATGTTACAGAAATAATAACATTATTTTCCTTTAGGAAGTTAAATAAATATTCTTTTTTTTTTTTCTTTTCAATAGCTCATAAGCCGATTCCGAGTAATTAATTATGGCTTTTATCGCTTCTGTTGGAAAATTAACAAATGTTAGTTTATTGTAAAACAAATACAATAAATGATTTTGTACAATGCTTACCTTTTCTACTTTCTGCTTTAATTAAGCCTTTGGTAGTCGTAAATACAAGTGATTCTAGTGTAGAATCACTTAGTTTCTGGAGGATGCAATTAATTCCTTCTTTTTCTTTCTCTGATAACATAGTGTACTANAGTTTTATAGGGGGGTCGACTGTATGGCTTTTATCGCTTCTGTTGGAAAATTAACAAATGTTAGTTTATTGTAAAACAAATATGATAAATGATTTTGTACGATGCTTACCTTTTCTACTTTCTGCTTTAATTAAGCATTTCGAAGTTGTAAATACAAGTGATTCTAGTGTAGAATCACTTAGTTTCTGGAGGATGCAATTAATTCCTTCTTTTTCTTTCTCTGATAACATAGTGTACTAGTTCTACATCCACTAGAATTCAGTAAATAAAAACAATTATTGCAATTATTATATTATTACAGGTTTATTTACTATATTCTGTAGAAATGTACCAGTTAATCGCTAATCATACTAATAGGACTGACCCGAGGGTTTGTCGCATAGGCCGGTTTGGGTTTTAGCACCTGATCTTTTTCTTTATTTAAGATTTTTAAGCTTTATGAATTTTACAAAAGGGGCATGTCTTAATGGAACATATTATTTCCGTTAATGCTTCTACTGTCTAGTCCTGTTTAATATTATTACTGTTTTTACAATGTTGGCACCCCAAGCTTTCGATTGCTGCAACATAAGCCCCAAATTAAGTCGTGGAAAGACACGGTAAATCTAAAGTAAAAAATAATTTTACTTTCAAACCAATAAAAAATTTTAACAACTAGACAAAACATTTTTGCATCAGGCCTATTACTAGGTCAGAAACATTTGTCCATTCATTAAAATTTTGTGCCAGTTTGAAAATAAGAATGTGTTTTTATTATTGTAGTATATTTTTTGGATACGAAATTGTCAGGAACCTTCGACGAGTATCAAAATCTGTATTTACTCGTTATTAAGATCGAAGCTAATTCACAAATGATGTGATATTCTATTCAGATAAAATCACACAAGGAGTAAGCCGGTGAGTGGTTTTACTCCCCATGTGATCATATCCAAATAGAACGTCAATTATTTGTCAATTAGCTTCAATCTTAATAAATTGTTTGGAGTTTGATTTGACCTCTCAACCAAACACCAGACAAGACCCACAGAACCGGATGGTTTGATTCAACACCAGACCGTTAACTCTATTTATTACAGACAAGATCATCCAAGAATCAGAGGCGACCTGCCAGTTTTATTGGTGTATGGCAACGTGACATACCGGCTATCTGTCTACCTCCAGGGGAAATCTTTTCTGGGAAACCGAGCCATATTTAGGTGTTACTAACGTGAAGAAAACCCAGAAAACTTCACATGGCCATACCGTTGGCTGGATGCAAACCAGTGTTTGGTGGTTTTACCCATTTGGTCACTGGTGGTTATGTAACCTGCCACAGACATCAGGTGCCAAAGAGAGTCCAATAAAGTTTAAAGGATTCCTGCAGGGCTCCCCGATGAGGTTCAAAGGACCTCTCCAGGTAGGACAGCGATACACATTCAGAACTACAACCTTACGTTGCGGCGGTCGGCAACACTGTGCCTGACCACCGTCCCCAACCCGCGTGACGTCATAGGTCAAGGATGACATTTTTTGGGTCGACGTGTTCAGGTTTGGACGTTCGTCTCGTGCTCTCCAACCCTTGTCTACATAATTGGCGTTGTTCTAACCATCTGTACATAGAGTTGTAATTATTGGAAATAAACTAGTGAAAATGAACGAGTTACTAAAAGTACTCCAACATTTTTCATCCTTACCCCGCCGGGACGGCCAGGGCACCCAAACACCACACCGTGCACCGCATTATAACAAAGGGACAACTGGTATTCACAAAACCACGCCGACTGCATCCAGCCAAACTTGCGGCGGCTCGGAAGGAGTTTCAATACATGATGGAGCAGGGAATTTGCAGGCCCAGCACCTCCAACTGGGCTAGCCCCTTGCATATGGTGCCCAAGCCAAATGGCAAATTCAGATCAACAGGTGATTATCGAGCGTTGAATCGACTTACAATTCCCGACCGCTATCCTTTACCCCACCTACAAGATTTCTCCTCTTCCCTATTCGGCAAAATTATATTCTCTAAAGTCGATTTAGTCCGCGCGTACAATCAGGTACCTGTGCATCCCGACAACACCCCAAAGACCGCGATCGCAACCCCTTTTGGTCTTTTCAAATTCATGTTCATGCCTTTCGGTTTGTCCAATGCTGGGCAGACCTTCCAACGGTTTATAAATGAGGTACTCCAAGGGCTCGATTTTACCTTTGCATACCTCGATGACATTTTAATCGCTAGCGAATCGAAGGAGCAGCATGAGATTCACCTAGAGGCGGTTTTCCATCGCCTGTCCGAGTACGGCGTCAAGGTAAATCTGAGCAAATGTATATTGGGAGCACCAGAGCTACCGTTTTTGGGATATTTAGTCGACAAGGAGGGCATCAAGCCACTACCCGAACGCGTAAACCCTATACTGGCGTATAAAATTCCAACAACGATTCGCAAGCTCAGACGTTTCCTGGGACTACTTAACTATTACCGTAGAAATGTCCCAAACGCAGCTCATGCACAAGCCCCACTGAACGAGTTACTAAAAGGACCAAACCTTAAATCCAACAGCAAAATTCAGTGGACCGAGAAGACAACCAATGCTTTCCACCACTGTAAGGAGGAATTAGCCAATGCGACGCTATTAACACATCCAAATCCAAATGCGCAATTGGCACTTTTTACCGACGCAAGCAACATAGCTATCGGCAGCTCGCTAAATCAAGTCGATCCCTCCAATGGCACACCGAAGATGCAGCCACTAGCTTTTTTCTCTGCCAAATTAACGGAGCCACAACGAAAATGGTCGGTTTTTGATAGAAAACTTTATGCCATATACGCATCAATAAGGCATTTCAAGCACATGCTCGAAGGCAAGGAGTTTACGGTCTTCACAGACCATCGCCCACTGACGTACGCTTTTAGTCAGAAGCCTGAGAAGTGCACCCCTAGGCAATTAAGGCACCTAGACCTTATAGGGCAATTCAGCATGGACATCCGCTACATCAAAGGCAGTGACAATACACCGGCGGATGTATTGTCGCGGATCGAAACTATTGAAGTGCCAAGCTCAGTAGACTACACGAGCATCGCGCAAGCTCAGAGCAGCGACCCCGAATTAAAGCAACTACTTTCTTCATATATGGCCTTACAGCTGAAGAAAATGCCTTTAATGGATGCAGGCCCTGATCTATTCTGTGATATATCCACGAACAAAATTCGCCCATGTATCCCGATTAAATTCCGTAGGCAAGTCTTCGACGCCACACACAATCTGGCTCATCCCGGAATAAGAGCTACCACCAAATTAATAACTAGTCGTTTTGTTTGGCCTTCAATCAGAAAGGACTCTCGTATGTGGGCCAAAACCTGCATACTATGCCAACGAGCGAAAATTCATAGGCACACGTGGAGCCCTGTTCAAAATCTTCAGGCCCCTGATGCCTGTTTCAAACACGTGCATATGGATATTGTAGGTCCTCTTCCACCTTTGCAAAGTAACATATATTGCCTCACACTTATTGACAGGTTCACCCGTTGGGTGGAGGCTTTCCCGATTGCCGACTGTATGGCAGAGACTGTAGCAAAGGTTTTTTACGGTCAATGGGTCGCGCGTTACGGTGTACCGAAGATGGTCACTACTAATCAGGGTAGAAAATTCGAATCGCACCTGTTCCGAGCCTTGACCAAATTATTGGGCAGCAACCACATACACACGACAGCCTTTCACCCAGCGACCAACGGCCTGGTGGAGAACAGCCACCGCAGACTTAAATCGGCTCTCAAGGCTTGCTTGACCGACCACTGGACAGAGGTCTTACCGTCAGTGCTGCTAGGGATGCAAACCGCCTTTAAAGAAGACATCAAGGCAACAACCGCCAAACTCATCTATGGGACAACCTTACGATTACCCGGCAAATTCCTCGCCCCTACACCGACAGACTCAAACGCAGCAGTTTTCATCCAGCAGCTCAAAGAGCAAATGCATCAACTGACACCAATTCCAACGAGATGTCACGGGACAAAGAAAATATTCGTCCCCCAGGACCTACGGAGCTGCACCCATGTTTTTGTGTGGCACGACGCAGTACGGCCACCTCTGCAGCCGCCGTACGATGGACCATTTCCCGTACTGCAGCATGCAGACAAATTTTTCAAAGTCCACGTACGGCAAAAAGAGACAGTTATCTCCATAGACAGACTTAAACCAGCTTATTGTCTGGCGGAACACCTTTCACCAAGAGAGCAACCACCAACAGACGACAAACAAGAGACAGACACGGGACAAGTTCCCCATTCAACAGAAGTACAAGATCCTAAACCATCGAGCACCACGCACTCGAAGCAAGAAGCCGAAACCAAAACCACGACACGCTCCGGAAAATGCGTCCGTTGCCGGGCACGTTTTCTCTAGCCTCACGATCATTTACACTAGGAATGGGTACTGCGGTGGTCGGCAACACTGCGCCTGACCACTGTCCCCAATCCGCGTGTCGTCAGAGGTCGAGGTTGACACTTTTTGGGTCGACGTGTTCAGGTTTGGACGTTCGTCTCGTGCTCTCCAACCCTTGTCTACATGATCGGCGTTGTTCTAACCATCTGTACATAGAGTTGTAATTATCGGAAATAAACTAGTGAAAACGACATTCGGATCCTTCCTTCAATCCTAGAATATCTAACTGGACTCCACGACAATTCCGTTCGTGGATGCGATCGGATTGAGCGATCTAACCGATTTCGACTATGTAGAAAAACCAGTAACGGTCCCCTCAACGTCATTTGAGATATCAGTTTGACACTTTATCTGTACGCAAGCAGAATTTACAACTGATAACGCGTTTACGTCGAAAATTAAATCGATTTCGCATAAAAATTTACGTTTAAAATACCATTTCAACGATTGAAATTTTGGCAAATTCAAAATTATCGTAAAATAATCAATTTCGCTTTCGGTGTCTTAAAAGTCACGTGTCCGATCGTTTCACCGCAAAATCTGCTTTCTGACGCCAATAAAACGTCAAATTGACGAAATAAAATAAAAATAAACCGACTTACGAATCGAATTTCGGTAATTTAAATCGGAACGAACCCGAAACGAAAACCTTGCGTTTCGGGATCTCCCCTGCTACTACCACCGGAACTGGCAGGTGGCGCCGTCGAAGTTCCTCTTCCGGTCGTCAAACTCGGAATGGAGAGATGGCGCCGTTGTAGTTCCGTTTCCCGTAGGAAGGGTCGAGGTGTGCGCATTGTATGTTTCTCGAGTTCGTAAAGGATATAAACCCCGAAAATGAACGTAATCACGGCCATTAGGTTGTATATTAACAAAATGATCGAAGAATGTGGCATAGGGATGAAAGTACTGCTTATGGATAAGGAAACTGTAAGTATCTTACGTCATCTGGAATGTTTGTTTACATATCGCACGAGCCGTTTAGCGGCTCTTTTAATGGTTTTTAAGTAGTTTTCTAGGTCAGATTAAATCCCGTATGCATTCTGCTGCTTTATATTTGATATGTAATGCATTAACTTACGTAAACGGTCCAGTGATTGAACGTCTTGGAAGAAGAAGTTACTTTTAGGCCATTTTTACTGGGTACCAATTATATAAATCGGCTAAAAGTAACTTTTACTCGTGTATTTTAATTAGGATTTGTTGTTAATACATGTATTAGGCACAGCTTTATAGATGGGTGGAAGTATATTCGAATATGATACTTCGTACTGGGGTTGGAACGAGGACCCGAGAGAGAATGCTGGCACCTTCTCTTGTTTGGGACAATGTGTGATGAGTTTGTCCACCTTGCTGCTAGCCTACCTTCCCTCTTAGACGTCTGCTTCTCTCGGTCTCTGGGCATGAGTCCCGCTTCCCTAGTTGCATCCCTGCTTCGTACGTGGGGGATTCGGGTTTAAGATTTTGCAGATGTTTTTAAGTCTGTATTTGATAACCTCACATTATAGATGAAGCTAACTTGATTGCTAGAAAGGCTTATTATTGAATGCAGAAACCAAAAAGTTAAAAAGGAGGTTTATGATATTGGGTGTTCCTGTTAGTTGGATTTTTGATGTTTTCGGTTTGACCCCTTCAGATCGCTCGATGTTGAAACAAGCAGATCCTCGCAGGAGGAATGTTTTTTTTTTTTTTTTTTTTAATTGGCCAAAATTGCAGGCACAGGAGAGAACCTCCCTTTTTGGAGCCTGTGAGTAATAGTTCCATTCATGTGAGTCAAATTTCAAATGATACTTTTGGATTTACTATAAGAATTTATACTAATGAACAAATACAACCGAGAGTCTAACTATCAGTCCTTGTCAGTACGTAGCTTGCTTGTGTGATGGAAAATAGTTGGTTGATAACACTGTGGAAATTTTATTCAAAGAGATGCATTTGTCAATTCTTTGCCATTCGTATGGTCCTTGTAGGTGATTTTACTTATCTATACTAAAGATACCTGTTGGATTCTTTAGCAGCATATTTTAGCTGTAATACCATCTCCTACAGGGAGCTCTTCTAGTCATTGATATAGCTATCCAGAATAGGCACTATCAAATATTGATAAGATTTTTAATTCCATAATCTAGTTATTTTTTATTGGCTTTCAAACTATATGGTAAAGATACCCATTTGTTTTTTATTATATTTCATGTGTATGTTTGTCTGCATTTAAAAAAACTTATAACTGGACTTGCCTGGCTATCAAGCATATCTTTTTGGCTTCAAAGAACCGGTAGTGTCTTTGCCACTGTGTACCAATGCAAATACCCAGTAGCATCTTGACATAGTATTAAGAACTATCTGGATTGATACTAGTTATAAATTCTATACATGTCTCCTTATCATATAGAATACAAGCATTCAAAACAAACTCTTAAAGAATAAGCATTCTGTTTCGAATAGCCTAAGATGAAAGAAAACAAGATTATTCTAAAAATCAAACTGATTTTGGAAAGTAATCAAAATCCTTGCAAATTTTTTGCTTAATATTTGAGTGAACACAGCTCAGTAAGCATGCAAATTCAAGATCTTTAATTACATAAAAAGCTATTATTTGGCTGTAAAAGGATATNCCTATTATATTTTTATATATATATATATATATATTTTGTATGACTGAATTATCAAGTCCATATCTATCTGTGGGTTTTGTTTCCGAAGCCTTGTGGTGGATTTGGGAACACCGCAAGCATTGAAAAATTGGTATTTTTGTGCCAATTCTAATATTGTAAGCTCTTTTCTCTAGGTGTCGGTTGTCGAGGCACATTGATAAGTTGTAGCACAAATGTTTTGTTATGCGATGGTGCTGTGTTATTCCAATTTACAGGATGGCAATTATAAATAGGAGTGGTTGTAATTGAGTCTTCATAGATAATTTTTATCATTATAATTTGATAAGATTGTATTTAAATTACAGGAGTTTTATGGCGACTTTGTTCCTGTTAATTCCCACTTGTTTTCATTGAATATCGTGGGATGCTATCAGGTAACATCTCAATTTTTTAGACATATCAATTTACACTTAAATAATTTATGTTGGATATTCAATTAAAGAATAACACAAAATTTACAGAGACATGGTTGGAATCAAGTTCATTTGCAGAGAATGGTTCAGGGTTTAACATCAGTCTTGCTTTCACTAAAAAAATGCCCACTCATAAGGTATCAGGCCTCCTCAGAAACAGCGAACAGGTTAGCGGATAACGTCAGAGTAAGTTTAAGGATGCAATACTCTCTCGATACATTTAATTATATTTAATAACAGTTTAAAAATGATTTTAATTTAAATCAGCAAGTGATATCTAAAGAGGCAGCGCTGTTTGAGTTTTGAAGGATGGACGTCTTGCCGGTTTTATTAATCTTGGATAGAAAAGGTGATCCTATCACGCCACTTCTCAATCAAGTGAGTTAATTTTATGGGTCAAATTTTAAAAATGTAACAAAAGCGATTAAAAAGATTAATACTTTTAGTGGACTTATCAAGCAATGGTACACGAATTGTTAGGAATTAATAATAATCGTGTGAATTTATCCAAAGTTCCGGGCATCAGTAAAGAACTACAAGAAGTACTTCTGTCGCCCGAGTATGATGAATTTTACGCCAAAGTAGGTATTTTGTTGCAATTAAAATATCCAGTTTTAATTTTCCAAACCTAAACTAAATCATCACCTTGTAGAATATGTATCAGAATTTTGGTGAAATAGGAGTTAATATCAAGGAATTAATGGAAGAATACCAGAAGAAAACTAAAAATCAACAGAAAGTCGAATCGATTGCCAATATGAAGGTAAATACCTAATTATATGTTTCTTCTTTCTAATAGTTACCCCATTTATTCACAGTCTTCCTGCTTGCATTGTATTCACTATTTTTTGTATGGTAAAAATTACATTTTAATTGGCCGAGACTATCTTTTGTCAATCTCTGAGCTGGCACTTGTGTTTTTAGTTGTGATGCCACAAACCTGTACAGTGTATTATCTCAGGTGGAAATCTGTCAGTTTTTCTACTGTTGAATGTTGTGTACTGTCTTTCTACTTGCAATCTCATCTGCAAAGGTTGACCAGCTGTTGCAAATGTCAAAAGACCAATAATTCAGAACATGGCAATGATCTGCATTTGTTTGGCATTGTCATGATGAAACTGCTTTCAACAACATCACTGTCACAAAATAACATTACTGTAAACAACTGTCCAAAAAGTGACAAAAACTGAAACTGCCACAACAACATGCCAGCACTTAGAACAAAGATTATCGTAGAGAAGCTGGCCGGACTGGGTTGGGATGTTCTGCCTCTTCCACCTTACAGCCCAGAGTCGGTGCCAACTGATTACCATCTATTTTGTGTACTGCAGAGCCACGTTGTTAATATATAATTTAATGACAGTATCCATGTAAGAATGACCCTCAAGACTTTCTTCAAAGAAAAACTCCAGTCATTGTATGCTCACGGGGTTGAAAGTTTGTAGAAAAGGTGGTGAAATGTGGTTGATATTGATGACACTTACCCACAGGATTGAACTGTAATCATTGTTGAGTTAATTGTCAAGAGTTCTTTCAAAATATGTAAATTTTTCTTTACAACCTGATATAATCAACATTCTGCTAGTTAAGTATAAACACAATAGATTACAGGCACTACAAAAGAGACAAATTAGTAGATTTTCTGCCTTATCCATTGTCATCATGAATCAGCCATCATCATCCTGCCATTAGATGAAAAATTTTATATATTGTCAGTTCTAAGATACTCTGAATTACTTTTTATTTGAAACAAATTAATGAACAATTCACAAGAAGTAATGTTTTCAAGCCATGGGGGCTAATCTTTAGGAACTAAAACGAAAGTTGCATTCTAAATTAGATAAGAAAATATATTATTTTCATCACTATAATTAAAAATATATATTTTTCAGGCTTTTGTGTAAAATTATCCTCAATTTAAAAAGATGTCCGGAACTGTATCCAAGCACGTGACTCTAGTCGGAGAATTGTCTCGTCTCGTGTCTACTCGTAATCTCTTTGAAGTGTCTGAAGTCGAACAGGAATTAGCTTTCCAACACGATCACAACGAATCATTAAAGGTAATTAATAAACTATTTCAATTAATGCAATTAGAAATATACTTATAGTATGTCTACGACTATGCTTATTTATAGAAAATTCGAAGATTAATTAACAACGATAAGATATCCGACATCGACGCCATCAGATTAGTAATGCTGTACGTTTTGACTTACGAAAAACACAGTAATAACGATAAGTCGGGATTAATAGAAGCATTGAAAAAGAGAGGCGTTCCTGAAAAATTGATTAAGGTAAATTTACCTTGTTTAGTAATTAGTTTTAATTACATGTAAATGAAGAAAAAACATATTCTACTTTCAGAGGATCAATTTAATATTAGAATTCAGCAGTAGCAAGTATCGTACTAATGAATTATTTACGACGGAAAATGTTCGAGCAATCACTAGAAAAGTTATTAAAGGTTTAAAGGTAAGTTTAATTATTGGTCATATGTCTTTGAAAATGTATTTTACTCAATAGTTTTATTCCTTATTTTATAGGGAGTAGAAAATATTTATACGCAACACACTCCTCTATTGAAAGAAATATTAGAAGATGTTATTAGAGGTCGATTAAAAGAACCTGCTTTTCCGTATCTTGGAACAGTTCAGCTGCGTGAAAGGTATGTTTTATATATTTGTAACCAAGACACAACTATGTAGGGTTTATTTAATTACAAAATACAAAAGAAGAGCATGCATAGGCTTAAAATGTTGGATTACTTTCATGTTACATTTAAATTAACATTGTTCATATGTTTCAAATTAATTAAATGATCTGGAATATCCTGGAAGAAAAGATTGATTGATAGTAAAACTTGTGTCTTTGACATACAGTAGTTAAAGATTCATTATTAATTATGCTATTCAGACTTCCAATATGTGAGAATTGCTTTGGTTTTTTGATTCTAACCTGCAATCTTTTCACAGAATTTTCTAAAATTAATTAATTAAAAACTTTAATCTTTATACACAGTTATGGCATTGATTTGTTCTCTTAGAATAGTGGACCTCAGGTTGGCCGAGTAGTGACTTTCAGAAAACCATTGCCAAAACTAACAAAATATTGCAAATGTTATTATTGCAACAATGTCACTCCCCCATTTCTATGTTCCTTACAAAAGATGTCACAAAAGACTAGGTATCTCATGTGCAATTAATGGCTAATTAATGTCAAACACCCGGGGTCCAAATGGACTCTAGGTATCTGTCAAGAGTTAACTGCATCATATGTATGCCTGGTGAAGGAACCTCCAAATAACAGGTACACTGAAAATTCTGAACACAATGAACCTCTGCAAGCCTTTATATAAGATATTGGGGTAGCAATTTGAAGGTACAGTAGTGTTTTCTGGCATTTAATTGAACTACAACTGTAAATATTTATGTAGCTGTCTGAGACATACCAATCTACAGATGTAATACAACTTGTGAAATAGGTGTTAAAGATGATAAAGCATTTTAGTGTAACTACACTACACTGATACACATTATGAATTACTTTCTAGTATTATGTATGAAGAGGAAAAATTTATTTTTATACATGAACCATATTGTTTAATTTGAATTATTTGAAGATAGTATCATCCAAAGGCCTAAATCTGCCTTCAATGTATGCAGAGAATCCTCAGAATTAGTTCTCAGTTCGCTCACAAATGAAATTTTGAGAAGGAGCAAAGCAGAGTCTGGAGGATGACTGAACGCAGATTGAATTTAACTGGGTGTGCCTCTTACCAATGCCAAAAATAGTGATATGAAATATTCCATCCATTTTAAAGTGCAAAGTATGCCAAATCACATGACGCACAGGTGAACACTCCAAAAAAATCTCGGTATATTGGGGATTGCATGGAATACTGTGAATGAAGTTTTAACTGATAGAATCTACTGGAGATGGCCTGTGCAGACAGACTTGGGAGAAAGAGAGAGAAGAAAGTTATTATTAAGCTGTTTAATAATGAAAAAGTAACGGTAATATCACAAACAATTTTTTTAAATGTAACTGAAATAAAAATTCTCTTTTCAGTCCACAAGATATTATTGTATTTATGATAGGAGGCATGACGTATGAGGAATCATTAACAGTGCATCAATTAAACAACACGAATCCCGGAATTCGAATTATATTGGGAGGAACTACAATTCATAACTTTAACAGGTAGAATATCTCCTCTTTCTTCATTTAACAAAATATTTCAAGCTTTAGATTACATTTAAAATCAATTTCTAGTTTTCTAGAAGAGATCAAATCCATTTTGGATTCAGGAATTGGCCAGAAGAATCCTTGATGGTGATTTAACGACCAAACTTTGTTAATTTTATTCCAGCGAGTACTCTCGATCTGTCATTCGGTTGCTATATTTATGGTAAATTAACTTAATGTCGTACTGTATACATTGTTATCTTTTGTTAACCATTCAAACTAAATCATCTATGGACAAAGCATTGTAAGTACGGAAAAATTAATCCAGAGTGCTTAGTTTCGAGTTACGTATGCAG